CTTGTTACGTATGTGTTATCCTTTCAACATTGAACATGTGTCCTGAATTGTTTTCATAAGCCATACTTTTCAAAGTGTGACACGAATATGAAAGGCAGACTCTCTGGTTTTTGTTTCAACGAGAGAATCTAGCACTTCCCTCCCCCCCCCAAAAAAAATTAATCAGTTTTGGAGGAGCTTTAGTCAGTGAGATCTGGCCTCTTCTCATTGCCCCCCATGAAAATGACTGGGTGCAGTTGAAGTGGACAATTAATTGAAGATCCAGCACTCCATACAAATTTGAATTCTGTTTTTTCTCTCTTTCCTGTGAATAAAAAGGGTGGAAAAAACAAATCTGATCTGAAATGTGAAATGTGTAAATCAGTGGACTGTGGCTGTAGCCATGCCAACGAAATACTTCTGGCCCCCTGTTGATGATTTATCGTAAAGACTCTGGACATTGATTGCACTTGGAGACCATCTGCTTAGCTTTTTCCGCTTTACCTGAGGTTTCCTGTTGATACAGGTAGTTACAGAGCTCAACCACTGTTTGATCAATACCTGTCCCTCGCCAAACTGCAAATGAGGAATAGATTAATGAGCTCAAACAATCAGAGACGGAGCCTCTCGCCAAATAAAATAAGTGCTGCAATAATTTTCAGACACGGAGAGTTGGCTAATTTTACCCCCCCCAAAAATGATACTGTCATTGAGACAGTACCACACGATCACTGGACAATTTCACATGCATCTGTGTACGTGTGTGCATGATTGTTAGCACAGGATTATTCAGGTGTGCATCACAAATAATGGTGGAAGTGACATACCAGCTACTGGTTCTTGACCATTTTCCTGAACACAGCAGTCTGTGCAGCACTTTTGCAATATTCATCTTCTGACTCTGTCTATTTTAATTCAATGAACAAAGAGTGCAGAAATGAACAGAAATGATAACTGTGCGTGCAAGAAGCGCTATGGCAACATTGAGGCATTTTGTGGCATCCACCAGCTTTGCATGCTAAACATTCATTACATTTTGGAAGTCAGGGATGATTTTGCTTTTGTTTCATGTGTGGTTTGACACCACCGTCCATCAGTAAAAGTGCTCCAGCTGCTGCCTTTGTGTGTACTTTAGCTCTGATGTTGGCTCTGATGTGTCATTTTATTGGAGCAGGTGCTGATTTCTGCATGCCCAAGTAGGGACAGGTGACGCAGTTACACTTTTGGCAGTTTTCATTTTTACCTTATCTTTTTATAGATCGACACTCCATGCAATTGCAGTCAGCTCAAGTCGCATGCACCGTATGCTTGTGCAAACAACCATCCTACATGTAGTCTGGTTTCCCCTCTCTGGGCAAACCCCAGCCCTGGGTCTTTTCAGAAAATGAACAATTTTCTTAATTGCCTTTATTCAAGACAGTTCCCTTTTTGGGATGAACAGGTGTCATGCATGTGGGTTTTCAACCAAAGAGAGTTCAACCTGCTTCTTCCTTCGTACGGCTATCTGGAAAAAATTGAGGCTTGCATCATATGAAATCTGAGCACATTTACATGCTTATGTACAAATTGTGTGATGGGAGTTTGTGATATTGCTTGCTTGTTGGAAAGAGACAACTTTGGATATACTGGGTATTACATTAGATCTTTGGAAATAATAATAGTTTCTACACAAGTAGGATGTTGAAATTTACAAGGATCAGTAGATAGGAGTGCCTCCTCCTTACATCTAGTCCACCTCTGTTTGCCTTCCCTGTCCTGCAAGCCCCACCCCCAAAATACAAAAACATCTGTGAAGCTGACCCTACTAGAAACCTTGCATTATCTCTCTCACTCTGAGCTTGCATTTCCTGAGAAAACCCAGCCCTTGGCACCGCGGACCTGCATGTGCGTGCATACAGTGTATAATAACTGTGCTCATCAACCTGATGGTTCTCTTACCATGGGCCACAAAACAGCAATTTTCTGATATCAGTAAAAAAAAGTGAGAAGGGAGCTCCCAGATGTTTGTGAAATAAAAGAAACCCAGCAGATATTTCCCTCGACGAGAGACACAAAAAATGTCAGCTCCAACCAGCCAATGCCAGCGCACACTCCCACACAAAAGGCCAGTCCTGTCAGAACAGAAAATTGGATCTAAATTCTCTGATCTCTGATTATAGGCACATGTACTTGAAGCCTGACTTCTCTCAAAGTGCAAATGAGTGAAACCACTCAATCAGAGTGAACTTTCCGCTCCTGTAAGGAGCCATGTAAAGGACAACTTGAAAAAGAGGATTGTATTTTCATATGGCTCTTCTTAAAGAGTGATTTGCTTTCCTTGGGACTGGTTTGAACTCTTTTGAAGTGATTTTTCACACTTTCAAGTGAATTTATGAGGGACTCACTCATTTTGAGAATGAGTTTTCACTCTTGCTTTTAGAGAATATTGATCACTATAAGTTGTTTTTCTATGCTTTTTTCTTTTCTTCTCTTCTCTCATTCAAGGACATGAGATGTCGTCATCATGTTCTGGGCACCACTAATTTCATAAAGTGTCTTCAGTTGTGGCACTTATAGATGATGCTCTTTTGTGTATCTTGAATTGAAAGGCCTTTTCTCTCCACAGTCTACAAGATGTTTTCTCCTGCTGTTCAAAGAGTGAAAAAAGTATACTGCTGTGAAATCAGATTTGTAAGGCAGGCCTTGGAGGATAAAACCCCTGAAAGAAATTCTTAACATGACAGGGATGCCAATTTTCTGACAAAAGCCTGATTTCAGACTTTTTCACTTGAAATGTTGGGCAAATATCAGGCCCGCACAAGGTATAGTTTGGCCTCCCTGGCCTTCATTTCAAGCTCTAGACAAGTTTTTGGCGGGCATCCCTGTAACATGGCAGTTGTTCTTGAACGTAGAAAATGTCAGATCTTTTGTCACTTCTGAGCTCAACATTTCTAGTTGTCTAGTTATTTTTTGTTTCAGTACCTGGAATAAATGTTAACCTTGGAGTAGGAAATTCTCTTCTCACGTTTTCTCTTCTCACGTTTTCTCTTCCAAGGAATTTATTTTCATGTTGCAACATGTGAAAACATTTCCTACAATGGTGAAAAAAGATCACGCCTTTACTAGAGAGAAAACATTTTCATGCCTTGTGAAATGCAGATCTGTAAATATGTACATAACTGCACAGTGATGCGCTTAAGATACAGAAGAAGATCTGTAAAAGACTTTGGTTACATTCACTTGATCAAATCAAGCAGTGGAGTGAAAAATCAAACTACACAATTTAGTTTGCACTGATGGCAATAGGATTATCCTTCTACCGGATGAGAAATTAATTCCAGCAAACCTGTCCAATCATTAAAATGATTGGAACACTGACACACCACACCAAGTAGTGTGCCAAATATGATCATCACATGCACACTTGTTTCTAATATGATTCGTGATTTTGCAGGGTTGGTGTGACAGTTCAGACAGATTCCATGAAAAGCCGCTCTTGATGGGAATAAATGCTCTTTAGACTAGGTGGCGGAAGACACCTCGTGAGGAGTGTTGTCCTGATATTTTTATGAACTCATTCAGTTGCTTTTCCAGCAAAATTCAGTCAGGTTTCTGTTAAAGTTTTTGCTTTTTATGGCCTTCGAGAGAGTGTGGCCTGGTGATAAGGGCTCATGATTTGTGGTCAGAAGGTGCAGGGGTTAGAACCCAGCTGCTCTCCATATGTTATGTCCTTGGGCAAGCCACTTCACTCCAACTTATTTCTGTTCAGGAGTATGTATAGAACGGTACCAGCTTTAGCTAGGGAGCAATTAGGGACAGACTAGTATTGCATCCAAGGAGGGATTAAACTTCCTCAGTCATTTTTATGTTACTGAACCTGAAGATGAATGCTGGCATTATGTGCTACTTGTACATAGACTCATGACAGATTGTTGCAGATGACCAGATACATAATTATTTCCCTGGAGCCCTGATTACTGTTATAATCCTGATGCTAATCATATATGTAGTACCTTGTCCCCATGTAGTTCCCATGCAGAGCGCTTAGTGCTATACTGTTGCCGTTACATGCTGTGTAATAAATTGCACCAAAGACTGTTTTTGAAGTATCTTTTGGGGTTCAGAAACAATGTTTCTATGCTTTTGAACTGAATCGGAAAAAGCTGTCCTCTGTTTTTACAAAAAACTATGTTTGAATTTGCATTTTTTGGATATTAAAAGATTGAAACCAGGCACTCAACTTATTATATCAGAGAAAATTTAGAAGGGCTGCGTAGCACTGTGATCGGAATGTCTTGTACAGTGAGTCTGGAAGGCACCCGTAGAGTGGAGAAGTAAGGCCTGTCTTGATCTTGTCAGTCTCACTTAGGCCTCTGCCAAATTGGGTACTGATCCCTGATGTGAAGTGGACGACATATCTAAAGCTACAGTTCTCTTAGTGTTATTACAGCCTGTGCAGTCAGCCTCAGGTTGAAAAGGGGGAATTTAGGAGGTGGGCGAATACTAACCCACTTGCTTTTGCAGTCAACATTTAGCCACCAGGGTATAAAAATTCCTTGCTATCTCCTTCCCGAAGTCCGCAAAGAGGACATAGTTATCAGAGGCTGTGATTTTGGCTTGCTCCTCTGTTGGTTTTCTTCCAAATGTGAAATCTTGATTAGGTTGGAGCAAATTCTGTACTGGTTTCAAAACGGTGTCATTGCGGCAGGTGTAGGTTAGTGTTACAAGTCGACACCGATTTGTGAAGTTGAAATTATGTGAGATATCAGGACATGCATGGAAAAAGGCATGCTGCTGAGGTTCACGTGCATGTACATTGTGGATTGTAAAGTGTTGGTAGGTTGAATCTGAAAAGTGGAGACTGTCAGTAACTTGGAAATAGCAGATTGCATTTTCACCCAAGTTCCTCCACTGAAACAGTCCTTTACAATCTCTGTTTATGAAGTCCTGTCTTATTGTAATAGTAAATAATCCAGTTCCAAAACATTTGATTTCCATGCAGTTAATGGGGTTTTGAACTCGGCTCTTTTATTTGTTTGCAGAATAAGTAATGGAGCAGCCACACAAGTAACTAGCAGCAACGCTGTCAAGGCAAACAGTCAGAACACACTAGCTCAGACTAGCCAATCAGGTAAGGGGAAACTTTGCTTTATCCAATCAGAGGGGACAGGTTTTAGAGGTGTGTTCTTCCCTTAAATCATTCAACTGATGCCTCCCTGCCCCCCTCATTATAAATTAAATGTAGAATGGCGCATTTGTTCCATTTTAAATTGTTAATTACATGTGCTGCCAATTTGGCCCCAAATCCTTCACAACTTTGAAGGTTCACCTGCTACACAACCTCCTGATCAAGGGAAGATTCCCCTGATAGTCTGGATATTGCAAACCTTGCCCAGGCAATAAACAGTACGGCGGACGTGTGCTTAACATGTCGTCTTCCTTTCGAGCGTATCCCTTGCCCTGGATGGCGATTCCAACACATAAATCAACAGCTTGGTTTTCTTTTGGACTTGGGGGATTGCATTGTGCAGCTGAGTAGAGCTCTACTGCTCGCTCCGCATGGTGTTTAATTGGCCCACAAGCAGCGCAGAGGCATTGTCACCATTCAGACCCTAGTCTGCCCGATGTTATCCTCTTGAAGCAGTGTAATGAGCCATTGCTTGGAGTATAAGTGACGATAAGTAATAGTTACTTCAGAACTAATTTTTTTTTTTGGTGGTGTGTTCGTAGATATTCATTTTCCAAATGGTTACTTTAGATTCAAGATTGTGGAAGGGGGCTAGTAATCGTAAGGTTTGGATTACAAACAAAATCACAGAAACAATAGTTTCCCTCATAAACGTCTTCTTTTGGCCTAGAGCAGTTCCACTGTTCAACTTCCACATTCTTCACATTTTCACTTTAACATTGTTGTGGTCTTTAAAGCAGATTGAATGCACCAATGCATTCCAAAAAGAAAAGGAAAGTTTTCCCATTGGAGGGAGCACTCAAAGATCTCAAAATCAGTTGTCCAATTGGTTGCATTTTTCGCCGGCAGATTTCACCGCCTCACCACATAAACATTGTCTCACTGTGAAAACAGTGGCGAAATTTGGCACTGGAACTCAAGCCTTTCTGGAAGATGCACCACTTCTGATTGCACAGATATTGGTTCCACTGGTTGAGATCTTGATGGGTAAAAAGACACTTCATAGGGTCTTTGCTTTTCCTCAATGTTGTTCACCGTTTCAATTGGTTTTGATAGTTGACAGCAGCATGTCAAGTTCCTATGATGAGGATTTCCAGAGGGCCATTCAACTTTCTTTGCAAGAGTTGGAGGGAAGCACAGGTAAGTGGCCTCTATTCCTGTCGAGAGCGTTCTGGGAATTAAGTCCTTAACAGACCGTGCTGGCCGGATGCAGCTGAAATTGCATGACTGTTGAACATAGAGATAGCGATGCATTTCATTATCGTCTTGGAAAGTACAGACACGCTGTTTCACGGGTGCACCCTAAAGAAATTGTGGATCTCTACTGCTGAGTTTTTAGAATGATCATTTATGATCTGAGGTATTTATTACATTTAACCTGCTCAGGAAGGCTCAGTTTTCTCCCAATGAATGTGGTAATTGGCTAAGCACGCTCTGACGCAGAAGGGCAGGTATTCAGTGTTGTCAAGGGAGGAAACTGTACCCCTCTGGTTATGGATTTCATTTCCTTGAACGAGACCGGCGGCCTCTGTAAACAACGGTTTCCATGGAACCTGTTTGGTTCTGTTGTTGTGGCGACCCAAAGGAGGAACTTGGTGCACGTGCGAGGGCAGTTTGGGAAACGTGTGATCGGGAAGCAGCTGTGCACACCAAATGTGAAGTGAAAAGGGACATTAACGCTGATGTGCACATGCATCGGTACACCATGCTTCCTGTAATCTGCCTTTTATTTTGAATAGCTATCACGATTCTGTTACATTCTGTAATGGAAATAAGAAATTAGAGTGGGTGGGACTGTTGATTTTTTTTTTACTGGAACGTTTAATTTCAAGTGTTTATTAACACAAGCGACTGTTGTGTATAATGAGTGGGCAGTGAAGTTGTCATTCCATTAGTGATAGCAGAGGTGTGTTTCAGAGAAAAACTGTCATTTGGATCATGCTTTCATGTCCAGTCTTTCAAATGCAACAGCATGATACCAGTAGTGCATCCCTCAGTACAGTACATCGTATGTTTGCATGCCTGTAGAGTTTGCTGTCTTTTTCTTTTATCTGGTTCTTTGTGTTGATGTGCAGTAGAGATAGGAGGGATTTAATTGTGTGTTCAAATAGAATGTGAATTAAAAATAAAGGATATCTAAAGCTGCCCTTTTAAATTCTTTGTCCTGAAAATTTGGCCTTTGATAGTTAATTAAAGAAATGACATGAACAGGCATTGAAATAATACTTTCATCTTATGTGACAAATGAGGATCATTTTGTTGTCTCAAGTGTTCATTTATGATCTTTCATGGCACAGTGAGCAAAATTTAAAAAAAAAGGAATATAAACATTTAATTACACAGAATCCCAGACCAAAGACGGGTTTGTACTGTGTAGTAGGTTTGATTGCCCTTGTCATGGGAACAACAACCGGAGGACCTTTAGATGGCTAATTGAGTCTATTCGTGCACGCTGTGCAGTTAATGATATTTCAGCAAGGGTAAAGGTTTGAAATGCGCAAATGAAATTGAATTGAAGTTGCTGCAGGGAATAATGAAATTACCAGACTAGCACAAGGGCAGACGTTATTACAGAATGAGACAAGTATGAGTGGCATTCCCTGTCATTCTGGCTTTTTTTCTGTCAGTTTTTATGTAAGGGATAGGGATTGTTTTAGGTAATACCAGGTACATGTATGTCAGCCAGTTGATGCCGGTATTTTCCCCTGGCAAAACTTTCTCCCAGATGCGAGACAATTTTTGGCTCAACTTTCTGACTTTTGGAGATTGAAAGATACCACACGATGCAACATTTTTGACTGCAAAAATGTGTTCTTTAAAAAAAACTTCGAGACAAAAGTCCCCGAGAAATTTGCTGCGACACCCTGGTGTGGTATACAGAAGCTGGAAGGCCCCACACTTTCACTGCATGTACGTGTATATGTACATGTACCTCCATGGACTTGTACAAGCTGAACCTCTGTTTGTACAAGACCAAAGGTAATCACTGAAGCACAGGTATCAGTATAAACATTGCTTAGTGTAGCACGTTCAGAAGTCCTCTGTGTACTCTCACACAAATTCCACATAGGTTTATGCAACCTCTGCAACTCATTATGCAACTCATTAGTGTTTTGTGTATGCCAACTCACAGAATGTTCTCAGCAGGGATGTGACCCAAGAGCAGGAATTTCACATGTACTTGTTAGTGTGGATTGTACAGTTAGAGTGTGCACGTAGGGATGAAGACTTAGGAGCGATAATGAGCCCCCTTTGTCCTGAAGAAGGCTGTCATTTGCCTGGGATATTGATGCAGAAAACCCAAACAAAAGTCAAACAGATGGAAATTACTCCAGGGCTGGTGGATACTAATTAATGTGCGATGATTCTGTGTAGCTTGAGGCACATATCCACGTGACTAGCTTCAGAAATCAAAGAGAAATCTTGAAACTTCTCATGTCAATCTTTTGTATCTTGCTATGTCGCTCATTAGAGCCTAGAGGGATCCAAGCCTCTCTGGCCTTGCCGTTGCTTCTTCTCCGAAGCGCCTGGCTGTTTTTCCGCCTTTCCTGGCAAACAGAGGGCTTGGCTGTTAAAGCTGTGGCCTGCCAGCTCCACGGCAGTTTTTCCTCTTCTTTCTTTTTCTTTTTCCTCAGCCCCACCTGCCGCAGCTGTGAAAGACATTAAAGCAAACAATTTCCGTGCATCGGAAGTGTCACAGCGCCACGTGTCTATTTTAGGATGGCAAAACAAGAAACTCTACACAGTCTCGTTGGGGAGCCAGAACATTCAGTTCTGGGCACTGAGACGGATATTGATCTATATGGCAACTCTGCTTCTTAAAAATTCAAAGACTTCTTATGTTTGCCCTGTCTGCATGCATGTTCATGTAAATGTACTTCTTTCCGTGCCAGTTGTTTGAAATTCATCTTGAACAGGGAGAAAATTCGATTCAACAGACCGGCAGTTGTATGGCCTGAATCGTCAGAGAGGATGAGTTCATTATTTTTTGTTCTCATGAGCCTCACCAGGATATTTTCCAAGGGGTGGAATTTTTTGGAGGGGGGGAGGGGGAAGCACTTATCAGCAGCAAACTAATGAACCTTAAATGGTAGAAGAGGGTCCATTCTGGTGTAGTTTTGGGGAGATGGGTGATTTTTTCTTGGGGGAGGAACCTCCCTTGCCCCTCACAACATTCTTTTTTTGACTGTATACATTCCTCAAGCTCTTGTACAGATTGTACTTTTATCTTTTTTTGGGGGGGGGACATTTCCAACATTTCAGCTGCTTGTTTGGCTCCTTTCCTCTCTGGACATCCAATTTGACATACTGCATCAAGAGTGCAGTGTGTAACGATTCTATTTTTTATATCAGCTGAGTTTAGTGTTTGATTTGTGTGTGTGTGCTTTCAACAACGAGCAGGTGCACCCATTGTGATATTTGGACATCAATAGCACTCATTTTTTTGGACACTTTCCAAACTGATGGTATTGACACTGTGCCAGATATTGATTGGCTCTAAACTGCATCAAAGAAGCCAGTCAAGCAAGAGGTCTTGGATCAAGGGCAGGTGGAAGGAAAACAAGAGTGGGTTAGCATTAGGGGAGGGCGGCACGCGTGTGAATGTGTATACGTGGTCCCTGCCATTCATCAACGGTCACTGCTACTAAAGGCCGGGTCATACTTCTGGTGAATGGGAAAGCGAAGCAAATTAAAAGTTTTGCTTGTGTTGATACGTGTTAAATTTTTACGAATTCACAATGCAAATATTTGATCTGACGTCACAAATTTGCGTTCGCTTTCGTGCGAAGTATGAACTGGCCTTTAAGCAGCAAGAAAAAACAGATTTCTCTCCAAAAATTTTTCTTACCCTTTTTAATTCTGTTTTCTCTTTAACCGTTTTTTGGCAGTTAGTGAAACAAAGGACTCGTCAAAATTGTGTAAAACTGTAGCTTCCAAACCTAAAGAGACCTGCAGAGAGGAGGCATTGAAAAGACAATACAGTATCAGAGGTGGGAGGAACCCCCCCCCCGAATGTTCTGGGTAACATTCTTAGACTCAGATGAAGACTGAAAATCGCCATCCACAAGCCAGCCAGGGAAGAATATGAACCTGAGTCGCAGAGGTGGAAGGCGAAGAAAGAATCCCTATGCAAACCTGACTTCCTCTGAGTGAACTCTGTGCAGAACATTAAGTTTTATGCAGGAATATTTGTAAAATTTACAAATATGCACAAGTTTTTGCTAATGGATCCATTGTAACAGTGGCCTTTTGAATACTTTAAATATTATTCTTTATTGGGGGATATTTTTCCATTAAATATAATTTTGTCTGAAAAGAGCGTTTTACATAAAAATCTCAAAATGCTTCACAAAACTCCATTAGAAGTACACCAAAAGATAAATCAAGATGTTTTGAATTTAAATACTTAAAATCAACATCTTCTGAAAAGAAACATTTTTAGCTGGGACTTAAAAGTCCCTGAGTTGTCAATATTTCTCAAGTCTGTTCCACAGAAAAGGGTCATGAACAGTCAAGGCAAAGCGTGTAACAATCATTGTTTTTGTGTACCTCACTCATTTGTTTACAGAAGTAAAAAGACCAGTTTATAGACAAATGGGGGGTTGCAGACTAGTTTTCTAGTGTAGAAAACACAACTTCAGGCTCTCCATTAATTTCAGAAGCCTTGCAGTTAGGTGCATGGTGAACAAATTCTTAGTAGAAGATGCATTTAAAGTTCTTGGAGCCCATGCATGAGCTGTATCGCTACAAGTGTATGGCCAAGTGTTTGGTGCGTCAATGTTTCACAGGTTGAATGCATTTGATTGGGTGCCAAGTTCGGATTGGCATGTTGCCGTACAGATGCAAATTTTTTTGTTCTGTAGAAAAGTTATGTCAGCTGGCTCTGGAAATCATGTCCTTTTAATCCGAATTCCAAATTTTGGCCTGACCCCAGCAAAGAGGGGAAAAAAATTAGAACACAACATTGGAAGTGTGCATAATACATAGCATAATATGTTGCTCTGGATTGTGGTACTTACAATGTGCTTTATTTGTTCTTTGTTTTTTTGGTTTGTGTTTCTCTGTAAGCCCCCTGACATGTACAATTTCTACAGTTGGCTTACCTGTTCTCCTTTGCTTCAGCCTTCGAGGAGGGCTGCCCAATTACCTGTTTTCATCTTGAATCACTCACTCAGATGGGTTAAAATAGCAATAGGGCCTATGTAACATACATGTAGGTTTGAAGTCAAAAGAGAACACACCAAAGTGCACAACACTGCTATACTTTCTCACTGGTTAGGGCATCCATACTAGGAATTTTTCTGGTCTTCATTATCAACCAACCATTATTTTTGGCTCTGACTGAGAGGAAACCCTTCTATGCCACTGACTCTATCTGGAATTTGATACCAAGAAAAAAAAAAGGATCTTTAGATTATCCAGGGAAGAAGCGGTAAATTTCAGTTTTACCCCTTTTCCCCAACCGAATGACCCTCCATCAAAGTAAAATAACAAAGGAGAACCATAAAATTAACTACAGACACCAGCATATTTGAAAGGGGGGAAAGATGCCCGTAGAATAGAGTATAAAATGTCTTTGCATTAATGTAAGTTTTATCCAATTTCACGTCCTATTTTTGTCATGTATCTGGAGCTTTCAAAATTGATATTTCCTTTCAGTTGCAATTAGTGATCGACAGGAAGTGCTCCCTTGTTTGTCAGGAAAAGCAGTAAAACATTTTCAGTGTTTCAAAAGGGCACTCTTAATAAGATGAACCAAAAGGGGCATCAGATAGCATGTTATGAGAGAACAAATTTGCACAAAATATGGTTCCCAGTAAAAGTCATATCGCACACTCTCTGAAATTATTCAGTAGAATAATTTGTATGCCAGTACAAAAGTACCTCCTTTTTTCCTTTGTAGAATTAGGGCAAAACGATGATGTGTCCCTAAGTCAAGCAGAGCTTGCCACTGTGAGAAAAGGTCTTCCATTTTGTAGGCAATATATGATTGGATCCTACAATATGAGTCTTAAAGCCATTTTGCACTTTTATTCTGGTAAGGATCAGGAAGAGCAAACTAAGCTCTTCATTTGATTTATCACTCCATCTAGCATTTTGATGAAAATGGACATTATGTTGGTGAAAATTGTTCAGGGTCCAGATGATCTCCTATGGGCACGATAATTTTTTTCAAGGCCAAACTCAAAAGTGGCTCCAGCTACTTCTGATTCATTTTGTTAAGTCTAGGTCACATATCAATTTTTGTTGATGGCAGTCATTTCCACAGAAATGAGAGATTATCCTGAAATGTATGGATTTAGAAAACCTTTTAGCCAGCTAAAGCAAACTTGTGGACTTGCTGAGCTTTGATTCTGAAATGTGGATTACATTTGCTTTCTGAACTACTTCCTCCTGGACCCATGAGCTAGTGGGAAATTATAAAATGCGAATTTCAGAGCTCAAGTAAAGGTCTTTGACAATTAAATACAAACAGCATCAAGGGTAAAGGTTGTTGCTCTTCTTAAAATCCCGAGTAATCAGAGAAAGTAAGGGGAAAAAGTATAGTGTGCACAAAACTTTCCTGTTGTTCAGTTACAGGTAGAAAATATTTCAAAGAGCATTCGTTTTGCTCCAAAGACCTGATGTTGAGTCAGAAAAAGTTGCACCCCCCCAAAAATATTTGGATTCCATTTGGCATTATAGCCACATACAAGGTGTAAATTGACATTATGACAGGCTGTATATAATAAGCCTGACCAAGGGGGCTGCAGTCTACAGTAAAGATCATGTTTGTGACCCCTTCATCAAACAAAGTTAACAAAAGTTGTATTCTTGTGGAATCCATTGTACCTCCAGGGGAATTGTTTTTTCAAGAAATCTGGTATTGATCTAGAAGGTCTAATTATAGTGTATGTTTATGTGAAATATTATAAATTACTGTGGATTATTTGAATCATATTTCTGTTATCAACCCTAACCATGCTAAATCCAACAATATTCGGTTTGATTTACACCAAATTTTGGGGCTCAAGGTCAAAGTAAGACTTATTTGTCCTTAACCTTAACCCACTAGGGCACATCCTCAATCCTCCAAAATCCTCCATGTCCCTACTTTGGCTTTTTGGGGGTTTGGTTTGTTTGGGGGGAGGGTTGGGCACAGCACGTTGGTTGCTGGGCTGAAGCTGTTTTTTTTTTTTGCAGAGTTGGCTAACGGCTTTACTTTTGAAATAAACAAAGCAGGCTTGTGCCTTTGTTTTAACTCACTGCAGTTGAGGATTGTGTAATTTATGACCAGCAGCAGTGAACAATGGAACACACTGTCCTTGGGTACATGTATTTTGCAAACAGTATAATGTGTGACTATGTGCACCACTATGTGACTGATTTTTAGTACTTCATTCACCATTCACCCTCAATCCTCCAAACTCGTCCAATGTTCACATAAAAATAATCCTGAATCCTTCATAATCCTCCATTGAGGTGGGTTAATCACTGAGAAAGAATCCATTGGGGCTGACATAATATGTACTTGTACCACATTTGTTATTATTGTTTAAAGAAGCATGGTGTACTTTGTTTGTAGCAACAGTTCCATTGGTTGGAGATATTTTCAAGACTCTTGCATATTTTATGTCTGGCTCTAGATACTGATGCCAATCCAAGCGATGCCCAGTCCAGCCTGAAGCAACTGCGGGACTCGGACTACCGAGCTAAGACAGACTCCCACACCAGCTCCCGGACCAGCAGTGGCACCACTGCCTCGGGCAAGTCTCGCCGGAAGAAGCTCTCCACCAAGGAGCACAAGTCTGGCAAGGAGTACTCCTGCCATAGCGGCCAGGCCGGCTCTTCACCCAGGACGGCCCCCACGCTCAGAGGGGAGCTTCCCGAAGGAGGGCTTCTGGATTTGTCCAAGGAACTTGAGTCAGAGTTTGAGAGGATCAAGCGCAAGACGCTGTCACCAGATGAGGATCTCCATGGGGAAGAGAAAGAGGTCCTCAAGTCGCCTTGGGAAAGGAAATCTCAAAACAAGAAGAAAACTATCCCGAAGATGCATGTACAGTACCCTTACAGAGCTCCAGTGTCAGATACGACGAACAGCCGTGGCTCTCCACTGAGCACAAGCACTCTTCTCTCTGCTGATTCTGGAAGGATTCCAGGCAAGCCGAAGAGTGCCTCCAAGAACAGTCTGGGAAGTGAAGTTTCTGAGCAGAGTGCGGATGCCGTCAGGGCAGTCCGGGCTTCCAGTGACCCATACACTCCTGCCATCAAGAGTCTCCTTACCCACTTGGAGTCCCAGAGGGCCTTGTCAGCAGAACACGTCAGCAAAGACAGGTCCCAGTTACCAGAAGCTGGACCCTCCCAGAAGGCACTGGTCTCTGCAACACCAACTCAGACAGCAGACCCAAGCAGGCTTGTGGGAAGTTCTGCCACTTCCTACAAGTCGACATCCAGCACCGCCAAACCTGTTTGGCTGGAAGGACCCCTTCTTGCTAAATCCAAGCCTAGAAAGTCCCCTGAAAGATCTGTAGATCCTTCTAATAAAAGTGCCCTTCCAAAACAAGCTGGCACAGGTGCCAGCAAGCCATCCAGCCTGAATATAGAATTGTATCTGTCCAGGAAGGCGACACCAGAGGAGAAAGAGCTAAGACAAGAAAGGGCCGGAAAGATGTCGATATTTTTAAAATCTGACTTAGGGTCTGCAGTACAGACTGTCCAGGAGAGTGTATCATCTTGTCTAAATAAGTCCGAACCTCATGTCTCATCTACTGTGGGTACTCTGAATCCTAAAGGTGCCTCAGCTACTGAATGTCGTACATTGCAAACTGAAGAAGGTGTTCTCCAATTTGATCCTGCAACATCATCAGTGTTTAAAGTAACAGAACCCTCATCAGCAAATGACATATCTGTCCAAGAAGTCAAAGATGAGGGCACCTCTTTGCAAGAGAGTGTATCAGCAGCTCCAGACTACTCTGGGGCTGCTTCTGAACTCCAAGATACCTCTGGAAGGCCAGTTAATGTGGATTCAAGCATAGAGTTTCCTATTGATAGTGGAGAGGACAGGAGCTTTCAGCCAGAGGCACTGAAGGGTATCTTGTCCCTGAGGCAGGAAGATGTGAAACAGACAGCTATAGAGCCACCCTTGGAGGTATGCCAAGATGTTACAACCTCAACTACCAAGACTGGTTTAACAGGAAGCCTTATAGAAACTGGAGGTGATGCTGCAAGTGCTGTTGACAGGCAAACCTCTGTAGATAAACTGAGCGTGCGAGCCACCCTTGACAAATCTGTTTGGAAACCGAAGGAGATGACAGAGTGCTCAGCAAAATCCAATCCTGGCTTTCTGGCTGAAGTTCCTACATCCGTCAGCAGCAGTGGTGATGCAACATGTGCTTCATCATCTAGCAGACGGCCCAAACCAGCTAAAATCAGTCCTGTGTGGGAGCGTGGCAATGGTAGGAATGTGAACCCCAACGAGGAAGAGGACGACCAGGTGTGGCAAATGTTTATATAACAGTGTACGTAGTTATTATAATCAATTAAAGAATACATGGTATTTGTCATTATTCATTCCCGGTCACGGTGCTGGAAACACCTGTCGATCATTCTGAACAAGATTGGCAGAAACATTGCACTAAAACTGCTGTACATGGCCGTTCAAGTTGTTCTGCTGTGACCGGGGTCTTTAGAGGGTCTCTTGATCTCATGCTCAACTTGATCTTAAGGAATCTGCCTGAGCTTCGGAGGTGGTACACTCACTCTCAAGTACTGCTCTGTGTTACACAGCTTCCCCACCCAAGCAAAGATACAGTCACAACCATTGGAAGCTGTCTTGACTGCACCACAGAAACAAAGCCAACTCCTGTGGTTTCCTCAAACCTCCCTTCTCCCACGCCTGCTCGTGTCAATAATATTAGTTTGGGGGGGGGGAGTTCCTGCAGAGTTTCTCCTCATTGTCAGGCAAAAAAAGGTTTTTCTTCCATTGTGCTTTGTGGAATTGGTATCATTCAGGGAGTGGGTACAGCGTGCAGCAGACTCAGCAGATTGCTGTTGGGCAGGACAGTAATTATTTCTAGTTCCTGCGGAGGAAAACAACAATCAATTCCTTCCTGGCATTGTTTTTTTTAGCATGTGTCAGCCCTCTTGTCAGTCACTGTACCCAATTAGTTTAAAAAAGAATCAAGCAACCTTGCGTGATGGACATAACAATTAATTAAGGTCCTTCAGAAGAGGTTGATCTTAGGCTTGAGATACCTAAGCATGTACATGTTTGGAAAAAAAACACATTATGAAATTGAGGTTTGAGAGTAATTTTATAACAAATGCAAAAAAATCTCGAAATAAGATAGTATTGATGTTACATATATTTTGTATGTGTGATTTGTATCAATGCATTGGTGGTTCATTGAAACGTAACGTAGCTTACTGTGTTGGTGATATGGTTCACTTCTCATGCACCCTAGTTTGTGTATATGCCTATAATAGCAGCCATCTTGGTGTGATTCCCTGAAGGACATGCTAAAAACTTCCATTGATTAGTTCACTAGATAACAGAAGAACCAGACTACACTCAGCTCTTACAGTCAAGTGTACTTGAAAACTGGGCCAACTACGGCCATTGAAATGATTATGTCACGTGAGACTTAACCTACATTGCAACAACCCTGAAGTTTTATGGTTTTAATCCACTCACATCTGCCAATCATTGCTTTGTAAATATGTTAATACACGTTATAACTATACGTACGTTATATTCAGAAAAATGCATGCAATATTTAAAAAGTACGTATGTACATATACAGTACACGGTGCAAGAAACATTCAGTTCCACATTTATTTCTTTCAAATGCAAAATGCTGTGTGTGATACAGAATCCATAATTATGTAGGCCTAATGTAAGCCTACTTGTACTGCTCACTATAAAACGCAATGCATTGTAGATTGGCACTTAAGAGTAAAGGTGTATTATTGCAGTTGCGTGGCAAACATAGTTGTCCATACCTTTTCTACTCATACGGGCTGAACAATGTGCACATTGCCTTGTTCCGGCAAGGGTTCCTCGAAGATCCCCAGTGGATGGAGTAGCAGTGCCTAACATGAGTCTTCTTCTGGTTCAAGTTTGGCATTGTTTACAGGGTAAAAGAATGAATAATGGTTCAGCGGGTGTCTAGTTTAGACTTTACAGGTGCGAGAAGGCCCGAGTGAAGAAAACGCTTTCTGAAATATACAACACATTGCAAGCCGTATAACCCTGTGGGCCATTAAACTTAGAGCTATACTCTTGCACATGATTGAATTTTACGGGTGAATCACGTACAAAGAATATTGCTAGTTCATTTGATACATTCAATCTTGAATTTAACGGCTTTGATTTTTTTGCACGTAGTCAGTTTTTTAATGTCAAACGACCCACTTTATTTTTATTTGCAATTGATTGTTATCCGTAAGTTGATGTCCCTACAAATCATGCAGGAAGTGTATGGTTTCTTTGTGTCGTCTTTTCTGCAGAAACGTCCATTTACGAACGTTTCAAATTGCCTCTGAACTCATATTTAACTGCGAGCACAAGTACCAACGCGTCGACATGTCGCCCATCATTTTGTACGAACTGGAATTTTTCTGAGCCAGCTTGTTTGAAGAGAAGAAGCGTATGTAACCAAATAATCGAAACTGTACGCTTCCCTGCTACATCTGAAGCAGAAAGCAGCATACCAAGAAGAAACATGAATTGGTTTATGGGCACGTAGACTACCATCGGAAACTACACGTGATTATGGAGGCTGCAGCCTGTTTTTTTTCTGCTCGATCCAAATACCTAAGCAAAAATTTCACGCTTCGAAGCGTGTCGATAATATATTATACTAAGCCTCTGCATTACCGTACTTTACAACTGCAGCATCATATTATGCGGGGTCGTACCCCCCCCCAAAAAAGTGAGTTCGTCGAGGAGGATTATAGTGTAATGGGTAAGGAAAAGGATTTGTATTGTGGGTGTCCGTGGTTCAGATCCTCCGTTTTGAGGTTTGTTAGCAGGTTGTTTCCCGTTGAGACGATAACTTTTGAGAGGTAGCATCATTTACTGCTTAAATTTATATCCTAACAGTTTGTTCTATTCAAGGAAAAACGCTCATTGTGAACACGTTTTCGATTAGAGCCTTGCTTAAAATTAGTCTGGCATCCATATCACATAAACTACAATATTTTACTTCCGGGTTCCTAATATCATTGTGACACATTAAAAGCCTCGTTTATAACCAGCGGTGGGAATTAAGTCGGATCGGTTGATTTTTTTTTTATTTTGTGTTTGTGTGTGATTTGTTTGGTTTTTGCTCTCCATAAAACTCTCCACGCAATATTTTGCTTCTCTGCCGGGCAATACGATTTGACACGGGAAATGTTGAGCCATCCGTGCCATCTATTTATTTAAATCAAAGGAAACAGTGAAACTTCCTGATAAATACGCACAACAATAATTTAAGTTACGAAAAGCCAGAGAAAGGCTAAGGCATAAAGGGAAAAATGCACAATATCGGTAAGCGTCTGAAATATTTGCCGTATTTTCCAAATTACTTTTTGTAGCTTGCCAAGCTGCACAGGGAATGCTTAGATGCACGTCCAGTCGTTTCTGTTCTTCAGTTGAAATCAGCATGCGGTGAACGATTTGAAATGGGATAAGGTTGCTAGTCGTTTCGCGAGTGCACGCTTTAGAAAGTCGTATAGATCTACAGTGACGGTTGTAGGTCAGTCTGTGGAAATTAATTGATTTCAGATAAACCGAAATGTTACTGTCAAAATGCACGTCAAATAAATCCTCCATTTTTCCATTGAAAGTATAGACGAGGCAGAAGAATAACTGTGTTCAAATGATAATCCTTCTGCCCTTGCTCGTTTGAAATCAGTGGTGTGTTCTTGAATTTGGCCTCGCTGACAGTTTGACATATTTAAAGTGGCTGGATAGCAGATTTCCAGAGTCCTTGACCAGGATGTTTTCCGTTGGTTACGAGGCGCGGCGCAATCGGCATTTTTCATCCTTGGACTGCACGTATGTGCATTTCCTAGCACCAGGTTAGGATGGGCATTTTGCCTTAAACTAAGCTCATCCTAATAAGCAAACAGAAGGCCTTGTCAAACTTTTCAAACACCTGTGTTGATCCTTAAATCGGGTCTAACCCTCGAAATGTTGACAACTCTTGGAGCACTGATAAAAGTCGACCCTGGTCGAGATCCGGGTCGAGAAGCTCTGTCCGCGCGGGGGCAAAATCGAGAACACCTGGTGGCGCGGCCTGCGTACTCACCGGCACCGGCTTGAATGATGTGCCGCGCCGTGTTATTGATCTGATAGGCGCCCGCTTCCAGCAGACTAGTGTTGATTTTAACACGGGCAGGCAAGGCAATAGTGTCAAAAGGGCGTCGCGTTGGATGGAGTTCATCACTGTGGGTGTAAAAAATAATGCCGTGGCCATCCTGAAGTTTGACAGGGTGTCAGTAATTTTGTGCTCATTGAACGATTTTGATTGGTGTGACTGATGACATGTACCTGGTATCACGGCATCCGTCAGTCATATTCGCTTTCCACCTGACTTCATCTTGCTCCAACACTTGGACCACCCCCCATGTGTCTTCCCCAGTACAGCTCAAATCGGAAAAAGTCACATTGCATTGCAGTGCTCCCCACTTTCCATACTGTTTGAAAGAGGACCGATGCACATTCTTGCAGGGTCTTGCCTACCGAAAAGACGAGGTTTGCTCTTAATATTGAGGGACAAGCTGAACATGTCCGTTACCTTCGATTATGCCTCACGGAGTACGACTTCAGTTGTATGAAGCCCTGGAAATGCCATCCGACTTGCTGAGATCCGACATATCATTTTTTCTCAGAATAACACCTTAATTGTCACAGGCAAGATATCGCCATTCAGTTATGTTATTACAAAATACTGACATCCTGAGATTATTAATTTTATTCTATACAGCTGGTTATATTGGCATTCTGTAAAAATTATCTCTGGACGACGATACCCTGACCGTAATAATTTCATTATCCTTAGATAAAACAGGTCAATGTTTCAAAAAGTCGGATGGCACTTCCGGAGCTCTGTAGAATTTTATTAATACAAAGTAGGTTGTACAAGTTTAATTTCAGAGACTGGACTCACCAGACAGGGTGCATGTGTTTCGTAAAACCTTTAGGATAGCTCGGACTGGTCAGCTTATATATTAGCACAAGTATTATGTTGGATGTTGATTTTTATTTCTCCGAGAGTCGCGTTCGGTTATTTTCGCTGGCTATGACTACTCTTTTGTGCAAATAATTCAATTTGCAGCAATGGCTGTATTTAGGCAAAAGAGCCGTAAAATGCTGTTCAGCTATACTAACAGCATTTAATTTATACACGGGTTGGATACTGAGGATCAAGGTAAATGGTTGCGTAATTAAAGCTTATTAAGATGTTAACACAAGAACCGGGACACAGGCTCAACTCGTATCTCTTTCTTGCAGTGAGAGGCAGTAGCAAAGCGCCTTTCCATGTATACTTTTTGGGGTGCGTTGCGTATGTACACGATGCGTTCATGCGTTTCACTTTCATGGACACAAAAATCGTCTCTGTTAACAAAATACACATGTACGTTGCGTTCAGTCGTCAAAATCGAGTGATTTTGACGGATACGCAACTCTTGACGCAAGTGTTGACGCGGATATGGAAAGGCGTCTGAATACTGCCGTCGAGACTGGGTGCCAAACCCATGGGAGTGGAGCCGAGGCTTTTCATTGAAAAAAAAAGGAAATTATTTATTATTTCTAGACGCATGACGCCATTTGGTCGACTTGTCATTGGATGGATATTTTTCGACTGGGCTGCCTTGTGGTGACCGTGGCCAACGCTTGCGCGTGGCATGTGCGTATATATCATGGGAGTTTTGTGAGAGAGGTTTGCGGTCTTCAGCGCTTCAAGGCAATGAGGGGATGTAGGAAAATAACGCACTGCTATTGGCCAATTATTCGATCGTCGATAACCTTGGTCGTGTTGTCCAAGCACTTGCTAAGCTACGTGCTTTCGATTCTCGTGACTCAACGCCTGCTCCTGGACAAAAAAAAAGAAGTTTAAAAAGGAAAAGCGCATCCGTTAATGGAAAGGGGTGATCGGATAAACTGTACTTCGTGAGTATGGAAATGAATCTCCACTGGTTACATAAACTCACTTTACCAAACCTCACCGTACAACATAATATTTCTGAAAGCTGGCTCCTCGCATCGTCCAGCCGGGCTTTCGGGCTGTGTTGGGAACGTGCAGGATATTCGGATGAACACTACACCAAGGGGAGACGGGTCCTTGTACGTTTCGTTCAGTCGATTCAAAAACGAAAACATAAAATCGAAAAAGAGTCGTTTCTCGTTTTATCCAATTTAAACAAAAAAATTGTGAAAATCTGAACGAGGTTGTTTCCCTTTTCACATTTTAAAATAAAAAATACAACCCAATGTTGATGCTTCGGGTGGCACTCATGTACCGTCTTTCGAGGAATGGTTTAGAAAATATGCTAGCAAAAAGACGTGAATTTACAAGTGAATTTTATTGAAGGGTCAGATTCTCATGATGGGGGCGGCTGTGCTGGAGGCTCGGAAATCAGTATCTAGAAGATGCTAAAATTTATCCACTCTCGGTATCTGAAGGAGTCTGAGTGACCCATACGTTTCCATGGTAACACTCCTTGGTCACCATATCGCCGTTGCACCTCGGAGGAAGTGCGATGATTTAGACCATGTGTCCCTGAAAAACAAATCTAAGTGGAACCGGAAAACGAAGAGTCTCTCGTAATGGATGGAAACGCACGACTCCCGTGCGATTCCATCTCGACGGGCTGGACCAGAAACAAAAAATACAGATTGTGTTTTCACTGTTATCTTCAAGCGGGCCCGTAAATCGCACAAAAGACTAAGGCCAGGACCTGGTCCACTCGTACATCCCGCTCTACATTTCGCTTGCTGTGCTCAATTTCGAGATCTGTTTACAAACGCATCCCTTTATCACGCCGACAGAAGCGGCCTGAGAGCCCCGTAAAATCTCGTTTGTAACCCATGTTATTTTGAATGCAAATAAACGTCGAGACATTACCTGTGGTGTCCCGTGAAATTATTCGGCGTACGTCCGTAAGCGGGGAAAATAATAGAAAGCTTAGTGTATTAACAATTACAGCTTCACAGATTCCGCGGTGTTTACATAGTGCACGGGACTGCCCATGTTTCAGTTGTAATAATCATGTTTCTGAGTGCTTGATGTATGGATTCGACCCACTTTACTCGCTCGTTATGAACGCAGTGTCTACATTTTTCATCATCGCTCGTTATGAACGCAGTGTCTACATTTTTCATCAATATTGCAGCGGTTGTAGGTTGAGGCTAGGATGGTCATTATTACTGGAGAGGCCGTGGAAATGGTTACGATTTTATTAGCTTGGGCTATGCAGTGAAACTGTGACGATCGTTACCAAGTTCGATCAGCAAGCATTTTATTTTGTCAACCAGTGACATAACAACAGGGGTAGGGGATGTGCCCTTCTCCCTGCGGAAGTCAGTGCCCCTTGGTGTCCCTTCCTATTTGAAATTTTGAAAAGTACGCAACTTAAGTACAGTCAAGTGTTTTCAATGCCCCCATGGACGAATTCCTCCACAGAAGTTTCGCCCAAGTGACGCCATTGCTGTTAAAGACTAGTTGAATTTATAAATGTTAGAAACGCTAAGCCAGGTCCCAATGTCGCAGGCAGTTTCGGTGTACATGTATTATGTCTGTACGCGTGCCCCAGGAAGTTGGGACAGGTTGCATGACCGTTGTTAATCAGACTGGTCTCACGCATCACGCCATGGCCACGGGGCAGCATTTCCTTGAAAGACAGGCGTCACGTCTCTCTCTCCTCGGTAGGGCCTCTCTATTGACAATAAATCGCGCGCTGTTTTACACGAGAGATTTAGCGTCGGACAATGTGTTCCCAACAGCGATGTTTTTACTGCAACATTTTACACCCAGCTGGGATATTAACAACCCATCATCGAGGCCTGAAAACCGTCCTTAATGTATTTTCCAAGTATCGATGCAAATCTAAGGCATCCGTTTCTTTTTCATCCCACTGCAACATTGGATTATCAAAGTGACGTCATTTTTTTTCAAAAGTATAATAAGTTGTTTGCAATCAATTTCCTCTGCAAACTGTTTTTTGTAACAATTTCTTTTAATACAAACATTTCAGTTACAGTAAGTGAAAGTTTTAAAGCCAAAAACAAGCATTCCAGACTCTTGTGCTTAACTGTCATCTCAGTTGGTATTTTATGTTAAAACAGGGACAAAAACTGCATCGTGAGACTGGGCAACTATACTTATTATTAACATGACCATGGAAATTATTTAACTGGGCGAGTCTAGTGACCGTCGTCACGCGCGCACAATAGAGGATGTGAATGCGCGTGCATCCACGTTGATGGGCACGTGATGACAGCCTAACGGGCGGGCGTACGTGCATTCTGCTCCGCTGACAGCCGGCCGGTGAGACGCTCGCATCTTATCTGCTGCTGAAACAAAAAGTAAAAGGATTCAGTGGTTAGAATGAAATGATGAATACTTGCAGAACATGCAGTGGTGGAAGCATGTATCATCAGCGCATGAGCTGTGTTTCTCCTTGCCGCTGTACCCACCGGGTCGACCGTTGGTTACAGCCGATGCCTTGCCTTGCTTCCCCGTGCTCGACGAGACGGTGGAGCTCCTCATATACTTCCTTGGCTGTGCGGCAAACCTCATCACCATCACTCTTATCTTGTGGGGCGGCAGGCGCTACCAGCCCAAGGGAGGGGAGAGCGTGCCCAGGTTCCTGGTCTTGGCCCTGTGCATGACGGAACTGTCGTTCCTCCTCTTCGGGGAGACAGGCTGGCTGGTTAGTTTCGTGGCCGGAAGGTGGACCGGTGGAATGGCGGCGTACTTGTACTGCGTCTCCGTGGTGGTCGCTTGCAATCGGTTCTCCAAATGCATCGTGGTGCTTATGGGGATAGAACGCTACCTGAGCATCAAGAAGCCGTTCTTCTATGATCACTCGGTGACACTGCGCCGCGTCGGCTTAGCCATCTTGGCAATGGCCGTATACTCCTTGACCCTTTCCGGGTTCTTTGTGGCTGGAGTGATTACAAGGACATGGGGAGCGTGCCTGGGCCCCATCACCCCTTCTGATCCCTGGGACTGCCCCACCGGTGAGGTGTCGCCTCAGTTCGGGAACGCTTCCAACCAGACCACCTACGTCCTGCTTTTCTCAACCGTGGAGAATGCTTACGAGTATTTCACGACGCTGGAGAGCGTTCTCATGACGGTAATTCTTATCTCGTGCAATGTGGTAGTGATACGCTGCATGCAGAAGCTCAAAGCTCACCTGGAAGTCGCCTGTCCGAGGAATCGCGCGGAGTACGTCAAGCAGATGGATATGATACGGGGAGCACCGGCCGATTTCTCCCGATTAATGGTGGCAGTTGCTGTCGTTTTTGTCGTCTGCATACTTCCCTACGAGGTGAGAATTCTTGCGAAAGTTCTCCCCCTTTTATTCTTAACCCCCCCCCCAAATACCCTTCAAAACCTTTTGTGTTTAGGCTTAACACTAACAGAGCTAGGGGCGAAATCTGTCCCTTCACATTTTCTTAGATATCATCGATCGCAGTGCATTTTTTTTTTTACCATGCCGAGCCTTCCTGCGTTATTCAATTGACGTCTTGCGTTCGAGAAAATCTGATGCGCCATTCTCGTGCAATGTCCCATTTTAACCGAGACAGGTGTATCTGTAGGCCCTGAATTTTATAGCCTTTCCCGTTGTGCTTAATGCCTTGGCCCCTACGCTGTGAGAGCGTGAACTACAAAGTTAACCACAACAGCAAACAAATGTTTACACTCTTGCGAAACTTCAGAATGATTTCTCATGGGGTACAACCACTCTGTGGCCTTAAGGAGATCCCCCAACGGCCCATTCATGCTCCTCACGTGGGCTATTGATCTGCGTAATTAAGTGTCCCTTGACTCGATTAGGCTCTACCGTACACATAATGTGCGTCTTGTGAAGAGCTAAAGTAATTTTGATAATAGTGTATCTCTGTCGTCCGCACTTTAAATTCTTTTTACCTTTTTTCAGTGAATGACCATTATCATTCAATTCATTTGAATTTTCTGAAATAAAATATATCCAAGCACTTCTCAAAGTGAGGCCCTTCCAAAGTGACTTATTTACGTGACCCTGTTGTGGATAGTCGCTTTCAAAGGCGTAAATGGCTGATCAGTACATCCGTTTTAGAATCTCTCCATTGTGCATTCCGTCTCATCCATCCCCAACCCTTTTCAGATAACAGTGGATTAAGTTTGAAGAATACGCTAAACTAGTACGGCATTGTGTAGCAAAATACAATGCCTCTTTTTCCTAGTTCATTATTTCTTAAACTTCGCACGCCCAACTAACCACTTAATGAATCTTCCTCCCTTTTAATTCTGGGAAAACAGCACTGTCGTTTCTCTTTAAAAAAAATCTTTTAACGGCCAGTCGACGCACACAATCTAAGCCCCTTGACTCGGCTGTAAGGCGCCTCACAATTGTGTTTGACCCCAGAAGTACGGCCATGTCTCCGCGTTGAATCACGTAGCTGAAAACGGGTTCATTTACATCTTGATTAAAGCTAGAATGAAGAAAATCTTCGTGCAGACGTGGACTTTTCCCGTTGGATTAAAAAAACATAGGCCAAAAGTCTACAAGCTAACATGATAGATTTTAATACTTTTCGTTTGGCTATTTTTACAACTGTTTTGATTTTCTTTATAGTATTTCTGATATATTTTTGCCAAAGCTTGAGGTAAGAAAATAGTTTTATGTCGCAAGACCTTTAGTCACAAATTTGTGTCACAAGTATCAAGAAAATTATCTTTCAGAAATGTACAGGTGAATTAACAAAATGCAAGGATGCAGGTTTGCCTGTATTTTAGTGGCCACTCATGTAGTGTTTTGTTTTCTCCGTCGATGTCAAGTACAAAATGCACCGCACGCGTGACGGCAAATACAGGAAGATCACGTAGCTCTAAACACTGAGATCGAACAATCGTGCCTACCCGTGTGTTCTTAAAAAAAACCACATCTAATTTGTGATGGCAACACACTGTCATCACCGTGAAAGGTTTTTCTGTGTCCCTCGAGGTCGCGTTTTTACCTTTTCAATTCCAAACGCTTTCTTTTCGGCCTCTGAATCACTCACGTCAGGCGGCTCTCCGTCCCCAGCGTGAAAGCCAAGCTCCTAAAATGTAAAAATGCTCGTACGTCTAATTGCGTTTAGTGATGTTTACCTAGTCAGGTGACAAGTCAAATAAGTTCCTGAAAACACCACCCGAAAGAATGCATCTAAACTGTCCTCTGACAGTAGATTGCAATGGTCATTCTTTAATCTGTAACCTGAAACTCCAGTCAGTTGTAATAGGCTGATGCTGAAGAAATGGTTTTCAAGAATGCGCAGGACAATTTAACCTTTTTAGGTTGTCTAGCTTCATAAATCAGATATGTTTTAGCCAGGCTCGCACGGACGTGTGGACAGGTACAGCGTAGCCGTTGCTAGACGTGCAATCAGGAGCGTGCGATTCGGCACTAAGCAGGTAACGCTGAAAGCCACGTACCTGAAGTCACGGTGAAATAAACGGATTCTAGAGCAGTAAGGTGGAGCTACGTGCTGCCGTATGCCTCGAGCAGGCACGGGGGGGGGTCTTAGCCCAAGAATTTTGGTTTTTGTCTCCCTACACCGTGTGGGCGAGACAAAAACGGTGCAAATCCAGCCAAGACTAGATCGGGGGCTGGGTATTGCTTTAGGTTTTAAATAGAGCATTATTTGGTGAATAATTCTCAGGAAAATGTTGCCTCATAGAACTGCCGCATATATAAAGCTTAAAACAGACCAAACTTGTTTTCGGCTGTTCATACTTGTAAAAAATCAGTATGAACTCCGTCCAGCCATAGTGGCGGAAGAAATGCCGAATATTGGTGGTGCATACAAACGAGCAACTTGCGAAGGTCGATCCATAACCAAATTTGCAGGGCCGAGGGGAAATTTTTCTCCAATACCAAAATTTGGAATTTTAATGCAGCCTTTTTCGGGTTGAGGAAAAGGCTAAATTTGAGAGGCTTTTTACACGCTTTTTTAATAATATGATAAATGAAGAAGTCTGCCCCAAATCCTCTTCCTGGAATTATGTGTTTCAAAGCCCCCCCCCCAGTTTTTTGTCTCCCCCTCGGATCTGCCAGTGGCGACTTGTAAATGCTTCACTTGGCGATCGGCGTGGTCTGTCCGCTCCGATCTGGACCAAGAGAGGGCGCTATTTTCCAAGCAATGGATGCTCCTTCTGTTGGACCTAGTACCTATGGCTGCACCGCTAGAAATAAATTCCCATAGAGAGCAGTGATAAATCCCCATACTTCACAAATGTTCAAAAAAATACTCACAACTCTCACAGGTGTTCAGGCTACACAGAAAAATGATGTTCCACATTTCCTCTTTCATTTTCCTTTCAATTTTGGGGGTGTTGACAGATGAATTTTTGAGAAATTTTCACCAGAAGCAGACCACCCCTAAAATGCAGAAAATGTCCCTGTCCAGAAAAGTAGCCATTTTGAAACACCACCCCTCAGCAAAATGGCTCAAATAGTGCCTCTTTCGGACTCGATTGCATCCAAATTGCTCAGAATTGGAAGCCCTGAGTCCGGCCCAGAGGTTCAGTCTCATATTTCTTTAATTCCCCAGTTTCATGGCTCTCAGGACCCTCAAATATAGACTATTTTGAGTGTATATAGGACCCTCAAATATAGAATATTTTGAGTATACATGTATAACTTTTATTATTGAGCTCGGCGAACATATTTCTGGCCTAAATACGAGGGTGCACCCCTATGAAATGAACGCGTTGAGGTCGCGTCGCTACTCACCCGCTGCCAACGAAACAAACACTCCCCATCAACGTGTCTCCAATCAATCGATGAGGGGGTGCTTCTGATTAAGGCGGATGTATCCCCGACTCACTCCCAAAGAGTATTCCTTTTCCCCGACTCTGACGATGAGCCTTACAAACGAATCGAATAGTCGCTCTCACAGAATAGATAGTTAATCATTTTCCCTCCTATTTAGGCCGAATGGTTTGTTTTTCAATTTAAAGCTATATCAGGTGATTAATTTCTCCTATACAGATTCGTTGGTTTGCGAATCAGTGTGGTACCTGGCACTCCCCTACCCTAGACAACATAGCCGTCCGTCTCTACCTCGGCACGAGTGTGATCAACCCGTTGATGTACGGGATATTCCGGAGAAAAGTTCGCAACAAAATTAAGGAGAGATTCTTAACTCTTCTGCATCACCTCTGCTTGTGCCACTGCTGCAAGAGGAACAATAGAGTGCGCCCTCAAGGGACTCAGCCGGAACAGTGGCAACGTCCTACAACCGTGTCTGGTTTGGTAAACTCACGTGACACCTGACAATAATAGTGACCTATTATGTCGTACCTGCTGGCCCCCATACCAACATGACTAGAAGAGTGAAGCGAACAAAAATCATTGAACACACAAAAGCCTTGCTCAACAAGTATCATATTTGTTTCTAAAATGGATTTATCGAAAGATCTATCATGTATCGTAAAGTTTTGCCTACTCACAATCTAAGAAAACTATAGCACAACATGGCGTCCCGTATCCCGTGCCTGGTTGATAGACGTCACTAACTTCATTACGTCACCACAAGCGTGTTGTGAATAATGCACGTAACAGGTTGAGTATGTTTTCCACCATAACATTATATATAATACAGAATATAGGGTTTACCGCCCTCTACTCCCGAGTGGGCCCAAGAAAGACGAACAGTCCTACGTGGTTCCTTCGGTGAGAACTGCACTTCGCTGGGTCCGCAAATAATTATGAAATGCATGCCCCCTCGTTCAAGCGTGCGCGTATACGCGTCGCTGCCTTCTGCAAACCTGGCAACAAGTCCAAAATTACCTGTTACTTGTACTGTCAACGTCTGACAAGACTTTTTGGCTGAATCGAATCGAATCTACAGCCGACTACCAGCCGATGGGCCAATGGAAACGAGTGCAATTACTGGTGTGTCGGATCTATAGCGGACAGCAAAAAGATCTTCACATCAAGTACACATACAATACACCTTATTAATATAAATAGAGTGTCTTTAAAAAACATTTTTAGTGAAGATTTTTCAAATAAAAATAATTTGGACTATTTTTGGAGACCCATTGGGCCCCTGCCTCTCGATCCGCCCTTGCCGACGCGCATTGTTTCGAGCATGCGCTGTAGAAATACCGAACTGGTTTTGTGGAAAACAATGTCTAATGCCTATGAACAAAAAGTCTTCTTTTTTCATTCATTTAATACATACATCCACGTTGTGGTTGGCAGCCAGTCACACCTGCACCTGTTTAGGTCTGTTTGTACAAGAGCCTCGTGCTCGTTTGTGTTGTATGACTCTGTTTCAACATCTCCGTGCAATACACAGGATATAAATGTACGATTTTATACATTACACGTAGATTTTTTGTACATTGTGCGGATGTGAAAATGTTTGTTGCCTCATGGTGGTTATGTCTGGTTCGTAAACTGGTGTGGAAACAACTTAAGTATTCTTTTATTTTTGTAAGTACATGTAACTGTGTATAAATTCTAATGTTTAATCATTGCGATGCACTATTTTTGTAACACGTTTTCATTTTAATGAATAAAAGAACAGTAACTGGCAAATAAGTTTGAAATTCGTAATTTGGAGACTGTTCAGAAGATTATGCACACGGCACCAACACCATTGTCCCCAAGCAGAACCAAGAGAGGGCGCAATTTCCCTAGCAACAGAAACTTCTTTGGTATGGGAAGTGCACATGCTACCGACATGAACCCAACATGGGGTGCTTCTGCACAAAGCGAAAGCGGACTGGATGTCCAAAGTCACGCTTTGGAGTCTAACAACGCGCTCGTAAGCGTCATGTATCTTTGGATTTGTCAATTCCAAATGAAGGCCTTCACTGTTTGTGTTATTCGGTCAATCATACCAGATCCGAAAATTCTTGTGCAGATTCCAATCTCACTCCAACCACCCCATTACTTAATGTGACCGGTAAAAAGGCAACCACACATCATATATACGTGGACGTGTGTCTTAGCACGAGTTACTGAAGTGTCTCAGACCATGCACTAATCTTGTGCCCTCACGAACACTTCCGTAGGCAGTTACTAATTTCAAACATTCTCTTATTGTTTAGCATGACATTACGCAAGCAACATAACACAAGTTCAATCGTCGTGTAGCCATGTTCTGCTGTCAAGTTTTGTCACATAAGTTTTCCAAAATATTCTCTACACAGAAATGGAAGACTACTCAAAAGTGTACAGTTACTTGATAAAAGGGAATAAAATCAGAGGTCCAAAGAAAATGCCGAGTGCTGATGAACACGTTAAGGTTTCAGGCTGTTGGAGGAAAGAATTGGTAACAACAATTTTTTTTTCAAACAAAAACTTTACACATTGACATCATCACTCACTTAAGATGCAACTTCAGAATGTAAAACTAATATATCGTTATTTGAGAGCTTGCGAGAATAATCCCTCCAGAAATAGCCCTTTTTAATGAATCTTTGAGTATGTTGAATAATACTCATTTCTGATATAATTGTGTCAAGATGGAGAACAAAACACTCGATAGTCAGCACCTTGGGGTATCTAGTTGCATTATGGACTCTCTTTTTGTCCATGAACAAAATCTAGGACGGTCTTCGTTTCCTGTCTTCCCAAACTGTTACTTAATCTCGGCACTTCACACAAGAAAGTGGTCGTACAGAACGGTTTCGGTCAGTCTGGGACCATTTCCGCTATGCTGCGCGCCTTGACGAAGGAGACGGAACAGAGACACGGTTATGGTGTCCTCGTGTAACGAATCTTTATCACGACACCAGTCCTTCCAACCGAGAAAACTTGAAGGCGCCCTTCAATTCCCTGCAATCCGGTGGTTGCAGTGGGAGACTAATGCCGATAACGCGACAATCAGCGCACGTCATATTGGGTAAACAACGAATAGGCTCGGACACAAGTCAAAAAATACAAAGGCCAAGTATTTGCCTTCTAGAAAAAACAGTTTTGACAGAATTTTCCCATTAAGACGGTTGCACGATGATTTCGTGGTTTGCCAAACCACGAAAATCTTACACAATCTTTATCTATATACATGTATTCTTCAAAAAAGAAAAGGAAAACTATTTTGTAGAAAATATAACTGTATAAATTTACGAAAAAAAAAATGTGCAAATACAGTAGAACGCTGCGTGTCTCGTCGTAACGCCGCTTTTTCTCCAAATTCTGTGATTTGTGCCGAAGGTTCTCGCGAGACTTCGGATTCACTCAGAGAAGTCCCTGTCGAAGCTGCTTCGCCCGAGCCATGTTCGTCAGCACCACAGCAGCGATGATTTCCTTCCAGTATATCTCGTCTGCGTCAGCGCTGAAAAGAATAAAAACAGGAAGTTTTCATTAATTTGGAGCTTTCAGGTCGACTCTGGGGAAAAATCAATGAGACGCGAGGTTCACGAAGTGCAGAGAGTACTAGAATTGATGTCACGAGGATTTAATCTCCAGGAAGATGCGATAAATCACTCACGCTGGCCGACAGCTGACGTCTCCATGTTTACTGATTGGTCTGCTTTGTACCTGATCAGGCCTCGGTCGGTAATCGGCTGAAAGATAAACAAATGCGCAATCTTCTGCTATATAGTCATCATTTGAAATTAAAGTTTCGCCGAGATTTCTTTTCTTGTTTATTTAATTAACACAGTTGGGCTGTTATTTCAATGATGTAATCCAAAATTCCTACAATGAGCTTCAAAATTAAAATAACAATATAAATATGAATGGAGTATTTCTTATCGTCATCATCGGCCTCAAAAGACGATGGATTCTCATTTACTCGTAAAAGTTGCCAATGCATCTCTTGAAATCAACAATTTCAGTACTCCCATCCTTTATCAGAGTCTTACGTCATGCAATCACGATACTGTACTACACATTTTTATTGTCTGTCATAGAATAAAGCAACAAAATCGTTTTTCGTGCACTTTGTTTTATGATGTCAAGAGCTAGACCGTAATTATAGCATCATACGCACCACAGAGGGCGCACTCATCATGGAACGCCGACTGGTTTCCGTCGCTCCCGATGCTTGTAGGTGAACAGGACGAGTCTACAGACTCACTGTATCTCACTGTCCCGCCAGTGGCGAACTCGTGAGACTGGGGCAAGTGGTATCCACTTCGTTGGAGTGCGATCGAGTCGTTGAGGTATCTGTGGAGGATACTCTGCTTGAACTTATGCGAGTTTGTCGTCTCGGGGAAAAATGCCGGTGAAGGAGGAGAGCCCTCAAGACTGGAATCATTCTGACTTATCACCGCCGGGGACCCAGCTGGCAAACCGCAGCTACTGGCCCACCTTGGTGCACTAACACAGGGATGGTCTGGACACATGACCTTCTCAGTTTCTGTTCAAAAAGAAAACAAGCCATTCTCTCGACTGAAACCACAAATTTCGGTTTCAATCATTAGAAATAAAGCACCCCCATCTTCGTACACGTATTTCATATTACAGAAAAATGATACAATATGCGTAAAACTCATATTTGACTATATTTTAAGCGAGTTTGTTTGCAGAATATAGCAGGAATAAAATGGACGGGAATAGTAAATCACACAACCTAAATGTCCTATACTGTACCTTCTCTGATGGAGACACCCAATTCCTCAGACGCGGAGCTCGCCACACTTAGCCCTTCGGCGTTGTCTGATGCTTGTCTGTTACACAACTTGACTCTCTTGCTCCAGGTAAGTCCAGGTTTTTGGGCGGTGTTCTTGAGCCTTCGTCTGGCATTAGCGAACCAGTTGGATACCTGTTTAAGGGATCGCAAGTTACATGTTATAATGTATAGCATACAAAGTCAGCGGCATATCCAGTTTTGGTGCGTGTGTGTGTGTGTGTGGGGAGGCAAATTCAAAAGCGAATACCTCTTTGGGCTCATTCAACATGATATTGACAAAAATATAATATAAAATCAGTGCTCTGAAACTTGTAATTGCCGAGCTTTCGGTAACTGAGTACCTTCTTCAGGGCAAGCAGATTCAGTTCAAAATGATGTTGGGGGAGAAAGAATATCGAAAGCCTTACTCGCCGTCCCGACATCCTTGCTTTTATTTCATGGTGTTGTTTTCTTAGGGTCTTGGTGTTAATAACACGTAAATAAATATACCAATTACTTTCGTACCTATGAAATGTTCTTTGTTTAAAAAAATCCGTGGGAGGGGGGTGTCCACTCTCCCCGTCCCCTCTGCTCCCGTTGGGTAGGCTACGTACAAGGTTTATTGCATAACTCTTCCAAATGTGTACATTAACAAGCAATAATGACTGAAGTTACTTTCAGGGCCAATAACAGAGACAGACATTCTTTACTAACACTAGGCTGTAAAGAAAAAAGCAGTCAAAACTGCCAAGCACAATCATGATTGATGTCCATCAGAATTTGGCGTATTCTTCCTCAATCAACTAACAAACCATTGTTCTTGCCTTGCGGAAGACAGCCTGTATTATGCTTTGTAATCATTCGTACCTGAACCAGGGTCATCTCGGAGTCTGCCGCCAGAGCGACCTTCTCCTTCTTGGTTGGGTATGGGTTGCTTCTGTTCTCGTACAGCCACGTCTTGAGGGGCTTGGTCATGTCTTGAAGCGTCCGTCGTCGGTGGCTCGGATTGGAGGAAAGCAAAATACCAGACGGACTGGAAAGAAATGTCAGAAACACAATGATGTAGATCCGCAGATCGAATGACAATTCTCTCCTTCGACTCAAACTCTGAGCCATGTTTGGGCTCCAGACGGGCCTATGATAGCCAAGGTTGAGAATACCGAGGTGTCTTCTCTGAATGATTTTTTTCTCGCTTTCCAAAACCAAACTCGAGATGCTTTGGAAAGAAAATAGAATTATGAAAGGGTGAGATGCATATTCAGACTGGAGGATAAAGAAGTTGAAAACTTCAAGTTACTAAACTTCAGTAAAATGACACATTTTCCTGCAGATTAGGAAGTATATTTTAGAATAGAAAGCGATAAATTTTCAGATGATGAAATATTTCGTTTACGCGACAAGTTTTCCTGTGCAAACAGTGTCTCTCGAGGTGCGCCGCACCGCGTCATGGCAATATCAGGCTGTCTCCAAAACGGGATTACAGCTCTTTGAAGTCTTCATGTGGCCATCTCGTTTACCGATTTGCAAGCGGGAAAGACATATAGATTCGGCTCATAGTTCCAGATTCGGACGATGCCTCATTCCGATTTCTATTCACTGGAGTGCATGATGAGTCAGCCATCTTGAATCATACGCAAAGCTATCGCTGCCGTTTTTCCCTAAGATATAAAACTACGATTGAAGATGACGTTTCAGAGGCATATTAGATCATGCATTGTGTTCCGATTGATAAATCTTCACGACCACCCGAGTTGGGAAATTCAATACAATATATTAAAGCATCAGGCATACGTAGACATTATTTATTGTTCGGGATTATAAACAAGGCCCATTGGATTAAACGGGAAACCATCGAAAATGGGCATGCCAAGAACCATACTCATTATAAACGTTTAGCATGTTTACGCAAAGGGAAAAAAACCACAGTGACCTGAACCATTCTCAATCAATACAATCATTGTATTGCGCCCCGACTTCCTAGAATCGATGCCACTGCGGTTCTAGATCATCATTAAACTTGTTAAGGTAACTGTCACTGGAGCGTCATACTGAATAGGCCTAGCCTAATCGAAAACATGTTTAAAAAATAATTCAAATGAACTAATTCAAATATCAAATGAAACTCAAAACAAATAGAAAAGTTCTGGAGAATGGAAAGGCATCTTAATGTGAGGTTGTGGCCAGCAATTACGATCGTTGACCCTGAACAAAACTTGTATGCCCGTGCACATTACTATAAGAAGAAATTAGATGTGGCTCTAGGGCTACAAGTATTACTGTTGCTTTTCCTGCCATGAAACTGCCGGCAAATTTTTTAACACAACGTAATTGGATTGGGTAAATTTCGGGACGAAAAAAGAGGGACATTCTTGACTGTAACGATTGTCATACTTGCTAAGAAAAAAAAGCCCAGCAAATGACAGCTGTTAAAAGAAAGTAATTTCTTTCTGTTGTTGACTCTTTCTGCTGAAGAACTACTTCCCAGAACCCGCCCGTTTACCGAGCAGCATAACACGAAGCGCCCCCGTACCGATTACATAACTATTCCAACCAGCGGGCTCAATGGTCCTTGATGACGGAGACTTCCGATTACTTGTATACCGTCAATATGTTGTTGTTTGGGTAGACTGGCCATTACAGCTGTAATAGAGCAACTGATCCTAGCTTGCTGATCGCACCCTCTGTGGAGATCATTATGACATGAACCCCTCGCCCGCTGTGCCCAGGCTAATATCATTGTCACGTCCTTGTGTGCCAAATGTAAAACACGACAGGTCAATTCACAATGTTCTACCTCCGTGTTTCAAGCTATTTGTCAGGATGGTTGGATTTGAAAATTTGTTGGGTCATAATTATGTTCAGTTTGACACTTTTTTTAGCAGCGGGGGGGGGGGGGGGGGGTGGGAGCAACCCCCCCCCCCCAAAAAAAATCCTCGCCCTCCCCCGGGGCCCCAAC